CCCCCCCAGCGGTGGCCGCCGCGCCCGGATGGCCGCGCCTGCCGCCGGCGCGAGAAAAGAGACGATGCGAACGAGGGGGCGGCGCCTCTGCAGTCCCCACCCATCTATTCTCGGAGAGGAAGTCAAGCCACCGCCCCTTTCCTCACCCTTTCGGTACCGTTAGGAGGAGCGGAGCGCATGCGCCTCGCCGACGATGGACGAGCCGGGGCGAGAAACGACAAGGCGGCGGGAGCGGCGAGGGAGCCGGGCTGCGTGGCGAAGGAAGGGGCTCCCCTGACCGGCCGAGGCGGGGATTGGCGGGGTAACCGGCGCCGGAGAGCGGCAGGCGGTGGGGTTGGCCGACCTCGCCTGGGTTCAGAAGTTGCAAGGCTGCAACTCGAACACACACCCCGGAAGAAGACAGCGGGAAAACTTCTGCTTTTTAACGGTTGCAGCTGTTCCACCCAAGTTGATAAGCATGCCCTTCACTTCATCTGAATTATTAATGACGTCATTGGAGAGTGGAGGACCCAGGGCTGAGTCATGTGGCACACCACTTCATCCTCTCGAGTTTGATGACCCCTGGCTTTGGGCAGGCTACTTCAAGGTATCATCCAATCCACGCCGACTTAACTCGCCCATAGGCTGTGGGGTTCTTTGTCAATACTTGAAGTTAGATTATTTCTCCATGGGCATACAAAAATCTTTTTTTTGATATTTAGCTTCCAATTCCCTATCAAACAGAAGTGTGCAGATGAGATACTCACTTATTTCAGGTGATGTGTGAGTCCTCTTATTTTACTTCACCCCTGCTCTTACAATATGTGATTTAATGCAAACTTTAGGAAAAATATGTGCAAGTTGAAGGAAATTTGTTTCTGTCTTTCAGTAGGATGGCCCTGTCTTCACTCACAATTCGCACTGTTGCCTTTAAAACTTGGGCACCCAAGTTTGGGATGGAGTTGATAAAAGCTCAGTTCCTGAGTTTGGGAGAGAACTAACTTTGCAAAGGGGTTTTTTGCCTCTCCCAACAGCACAAATCACAAATACTTCAAGCAAAGCAAAAAGCATTTACTAAGCGGGGTTCAAGTCTTTTTATAGGGTTCAGAAACAAATACATGTATTCAGTATGTGATGCATCAGAAAGCAACTAATCAAACAATAAAAGACATGAATTAGACGTGAGAATTAAACAATAGAAAACATTGATCCTAGATAACATTCCACAAGTTGCAATTTTATGGAGTTTGTACAGTATGTCTTTTAAAACTTGCAAGTGTATTCAAGGACTTCCAGAATACACTCCCTGTTGCTTAGCTGCTGAAATGGCTAGTTCTCGTATATGAAAATAAGAAATGGCTTTGGCTAAAACAAAAAAAAAATGGTTTCCTGAACTTCAGAAGGAAGCATGGCATCCATGCTAAAATGCTAATATTGCCTTTATTAAAAAGTTAATAGTGAAGCCTAAAATTCCAGGTTAACAATTCCCCCATTTGGTTCTCAAACTATTAATAGTTTGCAGAACCGCTTTTATATTTAGTAAGCAAGTGAGCAGTTAACATCTGAAATTGCATGGGATCTTCAGAGGATGTTGTGGAGCATATTTAAAAGAGTAGTGGCAGCACTGGGTGGCAGGCCAACATAAAGGAGTACACTGCAGAATAAATGTTTCACCCAGCCCCAATCCAGCAGCCAAGAAGTGAG